TCTATTTTATTATGAAATTTTTATTTTGAGAAAATGAATTGTGATTATATATAGTAATATAATAATAATAATAATAATAACGAATATGATTTTTATGACAAAAATGAACACCAGACAAATTTAAGGACATTGTCACACCGTTTGTTTCCACCTTGTTCAAATGATCAAATAACAATGTACATATTTATCGCAGTTCGTTTTTTCACAGATGACTTAGACAATTTTAATTTTCCATAAAAATCCACTGGCTAGTTATTATCGTCACGATGTTACGTGCCTCCTGATGCAAGTTACTATAATAAACTATAATTATTACAATAATTATTATAATATGTAGTTATTATAATAATTATGATAATGTGTAGTTACTTCAACAGCTATTATAACAGCTATTATAACAGTAATGATAAATAGTAATATAACATAATAATAGTTGATAGTACTTGCATAATATTAATAGCTGCTGTAATAAAGTTCGTACATAAAAAGATGCATAAAATTTGATAAGAAGGTATAAAAATTTAATGAAATTCATACGAATATATAAAAATCCAAATAAATCGTCCGAGGAGCGAGTGCAAAGCCGGCACACTGAAATCGATAGAACAACAGATTGCAGAGCCGTAATCCCGAGCCAGGCCCGATCCTCTCCCGGCCGTAACAGTAGTTACATCATTTCGTTCGCTCGTAACTGTTTCCCTCGGAATCTTTATGTAACAGTTATTAACTATTTTTGGAACGACTGCAACCCCCGTCCAGGCGATACGGAGAGCAAAAGTGGTGGGAGGGTTGCGAGGTGGTCGTGGATGCATCTCTTGATCGATATATGCTCGTGTGCACGGTTCGAGCGTGCCCAAGTTGGAAGGCCGCGGGCTGTGATGCCCGGTTATGGCCGTCCCGGGCTTCACCGTGTTACGTGTCAGCCCGCGAGACGTTCCGCAGCAATTTACGACTGCGTACATAGTGCCATTACGAAAACCCGTTAATATGACGACGCCGACGCCGGGGCTGACACGCCGAGACAGCCTTATACACCGGGGACAGCTCGGACTTTTTAGCGTACGTCCTGCGCGGACGTCGTTAATTCCTGTCCCGGCCGTGCCCGTTTTTATCCGAAACCCTTTCATGGGACGCTGGCGACACTGTCTAAAAGACAGCGCCGTTAGACGGCCACTTTGTTGCACACGATTACCGGTGAACTTTCGACTACGGCGCGGCGACTTCGGAATTTCGTCTAGGCGCGCCGTCTTTGGTCATTTTTCATTATGACGGATCACTTTTTAGGGGGAAATCGATACTTCGAGGTTGAACTTCTGGCTATGAGCTGTGCAAGGTTCGTTCGGCGAGTGCTGAAATTCAAGATGCCGCAGGGAAGATAACTTTTTGTCCACTTTGTGGAGGGTTTTGTGCATTGATGATACGCAGAGTGAGCTTCGATAATTTTTTGCTTCCGTAAAAAAGATTTCTGTCGAAAAACTGTTATATACGTTTGAAAGTGCACACTTTTATCTGTAATCTGTCGTAGTTTCATCGGATAATTGATAAAGTTAATAGCCTTGGGAGCAAAGTCTATAAACGTCAATTTGGCCATGTGCTGCAGGATTTCGTTCATCGAGCAACGCAGTGTTGGCTTTTATTATTGTCTGCTTTTATAAAAAAATTTCTATCGAAAAATTGTTATATACGTCCGAAAGTGCACGATTTTACCAGCAATTTGTGTAAGCTTCATTGAAAAATTTGACAAAACCAGAATCGTGGCGGTATATTCATTGAGGAAAGTCAATTTGGACATTCATTGCATGGTTTCGTGCATCGAACGAATGCAGAGACAGCTTTGAACGTTTTTTCTTCACAGAAAATATATTTTTATCGAAAAATCGAAAACATGCATACTTTTATCCAGGAACTACGTAATTTTATCGAAAAATTGATAAAATTGAAGTCCCGACAGTGTATTTACCAAAAGAGGCTAAATCGGGCGCAAGCAGAGCGAACTTTGATCACGGTTTATTTTTCTAAAAGCCTTTTCAATCGAAAAATGAATACAACCATCCGAAACAACGTTCTTTTATCTACAAACTGAGGAAGTTTGATTGAAAAGCAGGTTAAATTAATGTCGTGGCGATCTATTCACCAAGCAAAGCGAATTTTCCCATTTATTGCATGGTTTTGTGCATCGAACACGCGTGAAGCTTTGATTATTTTTTCTTCACAGAAAATCATTTTTTGTTGAAAAATCGCTACGTACATCTGAAAGTATACTACTTTATCTATAAACAGTGCAAGTTTCATAAAGAAATCGATAAAATCAAAGGCGCGGCAGCATATTCGCCAAGAAGATCCAATTTGCACATACGGACAAATGATTTCGTGAAATGACTCGGACGAACCTGAACAAAGCGAAAAAACAAAGCGCATTACAAATCGTTCCCATGATCTCCAGTGACAACGGTACTAATTAGCCTCGTATTTTTCGAATTCGACGATTCAGGAATTCGTGAAATTCGTTAATTATCTACGAAATAGGCGGCGTCGGATTCGCGTAGATTCCCAATCGAATTATTTGTCTACAAAGTGGCGCGCGTGTGCGGCTGCAATTACACGTGATTGGTTAATTATCGAAGCGTTCGGCAAATTGTTCCAATAACCGGAATTTAAGCGGTCGGTGCATAATGCAGTGGCGTCGCTTTTAATGGAATGGATACGCACGGTAGCACGCGAGAACCGTGTTCGTTCGTTCCGTGCCGCGAAAGTAGGTTGCAGACAGAAGATTCGTTTCATTACGTGATTCCGCCTCTTTATTTCAATGTCCGCGGTCGTACAGTCAATCTCCATTATCCGTGTCTCGGGGGTTGTACCCGAGATCGCTTGAACAAATGCCAAAGGTTATTTCCTCTGTAAACTTCGTGCTTTGTATCCCCGAAACTACCTACCGAACGTTTTACGCCTTTTCTTACCTAACCGACGCCGAATCTACCCTTTAACAATTCAATCGACCGTGCTCCAACATTCGGGACACGTCCGCCATTTTATCCCCCGTCCGGCACGTCTCCTAAAATATAAATAAACTTTTCTCGTTCGTTTAGGATCCACAGAAATCCCAACAGAGCATTTTGATCTGAAAATTACGGGCGAATCTGTACTCGTACGAAGAATAAAATTTAACGGAGTTACATCGATTTGACGAAGTTGTACTAATTGGACGAAGTTGTACCGATTTGACGAAGTTGTACTGATTTGACGAAGTTATACTGATTTGACGAAGTTATACTGATTTGATGAGGTTATACTAACTTGATAAAGTTATACTGATTTTACAAAGTTATATTGACTTAACGTAGTTATACTAAGACGAAGTTATACTGATACCATGCATTCACTGCATGGTTTCGTGCATCGAGCGCATGCGGTGTGGGCTTCGATCATTGTTTCTTCCCCAAAAATACATCTCTATCGAAACACTGTTGCATACATCTAGAAGTGCATACTTTTACCTACAAACTGTGTAAGTTTCATTAAAAGATTTATGAAATTGAAGTCGTGACAGCACATTCGCCAAGAACAGCTAATTTTCCCATTAATTAGATGATTTTGTGCATCGATTACGTGCCGAATGAACTTCGATTATCTTTTGTTTCAATAGAAAACTTTTTTATCAGAAAATTGATACACACATCCGAAAGTACGTTCTTTTACCTACAAACTGTACAAGTCTTATCGAAAACCCTCTGGATCTAAAACTGCGTTTAGATTTTCCTGCACCGATTGCAAGTCATCCTAATCATCAAGTCATCCTAATCATCAAGTCATCTTAACCTTCTCCGCCCAAAAGTTTGCTTCCGGATAATAAAAATCCTTCCGCGCATCCTGAAAGCTTTCACATCGAAGAGATCGATGCTTTAGAGATCGCGGAATTAGGCTAAGATATCGTGTGTCAGGCTAGTAGAACCGATCAGCTTCTCACGTGTCTGCTATTCAAGATCGCCGGAGGCTCCGATGCGAATCGATCCTCTTTGGACGCGATACGGCCAGCGTATAACGATTGCTATGCGTTCTTGTTTCAGGTTGCGACACGACCTTGGAGCCCGGATCAGGGCAAGACGCGGGAGATGACCAAGCTTTGCAACCATAAGAGGAAACTTTTGCTGCCAATAACGGCGGCCAGCAGTCCTGTTGCATCCTGCACGCAGGCGGTCTCCTCGTCGACTTTATCCTCTGGCCCGACTGTAACCGCGATTCACGTGAACGCAGACTCGCCCACCTCGCCGGACAAGGCCAGGAAAGGTAAGAACGTGACCTTGCTATAGCGCACTCTCTACGCCTTCGTTAATTTCGGGATCGCGCGTTTATCCTGCTATTCATTCCGCGCACGATTTCTGCGCCGGCGATGCTCGCGCAAAGATTTCGCAGATCTTCTTTTAGAGACTTTAATGATTGTGCAGTGAGAGATGCCAAGGTTATGAACATTTTCATTGACCTTCCGATGACGATCTCTCTAGGGTAGCTGCATCAATTACTGTGCTCGTTATACCGACATCTGAAGTTTTCGACAAATTAAATAGTTTTTTTTCATCTATATCGTAATTCTTAAAATATTTTAGTTATACCGTGATGTCTTTTATACAAGGTCGAATTATTTCAGAAATGAAATATATAAGCAACGCGAAATATTTAACGAAATATACATATCAGTTTTTGATGGAGTTACTGTGCCCTTAAAAAGATGAGAAGTTAATTACTGTGCTGTGCCATTTTCAGTTACTGAGTTCCAATTTCTGTACACTGATCTGATTATCGTGATCAGTTCTAGGTAAATAAATCTATAACAAAAATGCAAAAGCATGAAATATTCCATATTAAATTATTTAGCATAATTTATTATTTATGCTTCAATACTTGCGATATTATTCCAGAAAGGAAAAATATTATATGTAGCAATGAAAACCTAATCCATTTACAGCGCACAGTAACAGGAACAAGACGTAAATTTGTTTGAGTTACTAAATTACTTTAAATCAAAAAACACATCTAAGAAGTCGATTATAATATCGTTTTTTTGTAATTTGCACATTGCAGTTTTATGAATATCATAGATTATTTTTTGTTATGGAAGGCATTTCTTCTGCAAGAACATTTTCGAAGATCTAGTTTCCAAACACCTAGCTGTCATTATACATACGTATAGTACATTAAGTAGGCGTGGCTTCTTTGGCCTCATTTGTTTCAGACTACAATGCCTCGTAAACTAAATTACATAAAATCTGACATCGACGAAAGCAGTTCTTATGGCATAACCATTTAACGTTTCGAAAACATTTGCTCTCATTGCACGCATATACAATGTACAGTGTATTAAGTAGGCGTGGCTTCTTTGCCCTCATTTACCACAGAGTACAATATTTATTAAAAAATTCAGAGAAAAATGTCTTTCGCTGATCGAAGAATTTCTTTCTCTCGCCAAGAACAGTTTCAAGAAACCTTGCTATCGTTATATTGTACATACATGTATAGTATATTAAGTAGGCGTGGCTTCTTTGCCCTCATTTTTTCCACAGAGTACAGTACCTTATTAAATCAAATCTTGCAAACATTAATTCAGAGAAAAATGTCTTTCATCGATCGAAGAATTTCTTTCTCCTGCCAAGAACAGTTTCAAGAAACCTTGCTATTATTATACATATATGTACAGTATATCAAATAGGCGTGGCTTCTTTGCCCCATTTGCCACGGAGTACAATACTTATTAAATCAAATCTTGCGAACATAAATTCAGGGGAAAATGTCTTTCGTCGATCCAAGAACAGTTTCAAAAAACCTTGCTATTGTTATACAGTAAATATATACAGTATATTAAGTGGGCGTGGCTTCTTTGCTCCGTCTTTCTCCACAGTATGACACCAACCAAACAAAATCTTATAAAAATCTATTGCGAGAAAAATATCGCTCACCAACCAAAGAATTGTAAAAAGAGAGTGTCTGTCTTCAGAAACCCTTGTTCCTGTAACAGCACATCCACAGAACAGTACATTAAGTAGGCGTGGCTTCGCAGCTCCGCGGAACCAAGATCTCCGCAAAGCAATCTTTACGGCCATTTGCTCCGCAGTACGATACAAACTAAATCCGCAAGATTAAGGATCACCCCAAGCTCGGCAGCAATAGATTCACACATCATCGCACCCCAAAACCGTGAAAAATAAGGCAGGCACGCCCCCGGAATCGCATCACAACAACGTATATCAGCTTAATTAGAAAACATATTCTCCCCAAGGGTAATCTTGCTGGGTGAAATCGCTCGGAAGGAATTTTTCCAGCGAAGTGACTCGATCTCCCCGTCTGCGGCGGCGGTTGTCTCCGATCGATCAAAATCAGAATTCCCCCCCCGGGAAAAGTTTCTTGCCGGCCTGAAACGAGCCACGAATTCGTCGAACCCGATCGCATTATACATACTCGCCAATCAATCTCACGTACACGTTCTCGGCCGCGGACGCCCACGCACGCGTCTACACGTGCAAACACAAACACACACACACACGCGCACACTCTTTCAAGCCGAAAGAAGTTTTCCCATCGATCCGTCGTATTAACAAAGTTCCGCCGGTAGCCGGAGCGGCGCGCCATAATCGCCGGGAACGTTTATTCACCGCCGTACCAGAAAACACGCGGCGGAAACTTTTATTGGAAGACGACCAAAAGTTTTTCCGCCTCCCTTCCGCGTGTTTGCGGGGCCCAGCCTAGTCGCGATCATTAGACTGCAGAGAGAAAAGTCCCGAAGAAAACGGACGACGAAATTGCAGCATTAGCGGAGTCTGTTGCCACCCTCGCCGGCGCGGGGGTGAACGGCGTACGACACCGTCCCTCGAAAATATGCGGACGATTTCTTAATTGCGATTAAACATTCCTGGGACAGCTTGGATCAAGTTTACGGAGTTTTATGGAATTTTGGGCGTTATATTTTTCACCGACTTCTTTAATGGTTCACTCGTTGAGCGAGAATGGTTATTGTTCTTTGTTATTATGAACAGACCTTAACGACGATTTTATTAACGGCGATGGTCTCGTAATTTTGACAAAATTTACAATTCAGAAATAAGAACTTTTAAATAAATCCTTCAATGACAATTGAAAATATAATCACATAAAAATCCGCAGTTCAGCTCTAAATATTCAATAACTAAATTAAATACAAAGAAAGAATAAAACTGAATCTTCTTTTTCTGCTAAAACATAACTGTAAACAAGAAACCAATCGAACAATGTTTAAAATTGTTGTATACAATATAAATAGACCGCAGACATTTTGCATTTATGATAAAAATGGTTTGAGAAAATATCGAAACGTGAAAACATTAGAAAAGTAATCACAAAAGGATATAACATATTTAATATCTTTTTTTCAAATTCGCAGTCTAATAATAAAGAACAAACAGTCGCGAAAGAATTGAATAATGGACCAATAATAGTAACGTATATTCGGAAGAAAACGGTTGCAATTGTTCGTGATAGAATTAGTAAATTCTTTCATCTCCTTTCTTCGTCGAGTCGCTAATTAAACGACCGTTATGCCGGCCGAGTCACCCCCTCTCCCGCTTATGGTTGCTCGCGCGTCACCGCCCCCCGCCATGGTGGAAACAATGCCAATTGAAATTCGCCGAGTGTATTTCGGTCGTTCCCTGGTGCCCCGGGCTTTACGATTTCAGAACAATCTCGCTTACCTTCGGTTACCTCCTACTTGGGAAGTTTTTAACTGCGGCCCGCGTGTCACCCTCCGCGATTTCTACTTATTTACGGGGCTGCGTACCCCGCCGAGCGACTTCGGTTAATAGTTGCCGTATATCTTTCCCGTGAAATACGGATCGGCTGTTTAATTGTTCTTCTTAATCACGCCGGGCAAATTGCGTTTTTAATTGAAGGTTGTAAACGGTCCGCGGCGGCTCGACCAATTTTTAGATCTGCGACAACAAGATTCGTTTAACACAGATGTAAATTTATCAGAAAATTTCTTGAATTTTAGCTGCTTTATCTGTAGTGGTATGTGGACTGTAGAGTCAGTCGTTCTTCCTAATAAATCGTTTTTAATTAGAGCTTAATAGAGCTTAAAATATAGCTACGCGTGTCCAAATTCATTTAGACATTTATTTAGGCGCTTTTACAATTTTAATCTGCTGTCCATTTTTATAGTAAAATATTCAATTGTTCATGTTAACAATACCGAGTTGCAAATCGGTTTTAATTCGAAGTTGTAGACGTTCCTACAATTTTTTTGATCCTTGGCAAGCATTTTTGAAAATTACATTTGTAAGACTACATCAATTACAATATTTATCTAACATCGCCTTTCTTTAGATATTCTTGAATGTAGTCCTTCGAAAACTGCATTGATCTTTTTATTAGATTTTATATAAATCGGTAATCATTTTCATAAATGTTGTATGTTTAGAGGGTATTTCTTTGGATTTTTGCATTAGGCCAGATATAAATCCCAAACAGTTTAGGTTTGTATTTGATGTGCATACGTTGGGTCAGAATATTCGACCATTTTTTTATTCCAACGCACTTATTATAAAATATTAGATAATTTTCGGGAGATTTTAATTGCGAACAAAACTGGAGTTTGATTTATTATTATTCATTATTCTCGATCAGTGAAATTTCCAGATACTCTAAAGACCTCTCTCGACTCTTTCTCGTCGTAGATTGTTCTTTTTCAATTAATATCGACTGGTAACAGATCTTTAATAGTTTCTTTCCATTTCAATTGGTTTCTTCAATAGCGTCGCTGGTTTCGTTCGCAATTTCATGAAATTGCAACTGTGTCAATCATTCACCTGTATTTTTTAAAATCTACCGTACAGAGAATATTAGTTTTCACTCGGACATGTTCGAAGATATCTCTACAAAAAATTCTATGCACGACCTATGCAGCTTCAAACGAGCTATTCGATTAAATAAAAACTCCATCAATTTTTCTGGAAAAAATTTCTGAGAGTTACAGTCGATTGAATTCGTTGGTTCGTGACAATAAAAGCTTGAATAAAGAAGTGTATCTAAAAATCCCAGCAGTTTTACTAAATTTGGAAGTTGAAAGAACTATTAAAAACCAATATATAATTCTGGTTATCCGTAACGGTTATTCATAACCGAAAACTGTTTTTATGAATTGTAATGGCTATCTGCAACGAATTAACATTCTCGTCACAGATAACTGTTATTTCTAACAAAAAATAATTTTCGTCATCGATGATTGTTGTTTGTAAAAAAAAAAACAATTTTCGTATCTATAATGA